GGGATGAGGCTCAGATCATGGACCAACCAGACACGGCAGGGGCAGCTATCTGTTTGTGGGATACTCAACACATTGGAGGCAAACTCTTGGCATTTGGCTAACTTGACGTTAGAGGCAGGACATCTACCCTGTTTTCAAGTGTAGGTTGGTTCTCTATTCCTCCCCAAAGTGATCAAAGGAGGCTCTCCCTTCCCAATATCATGCCAAGTGCCAGGACTACAGGCTGCTCAGCTACCTGGGAGGCTGAGGCTTGCCTGGGCTATGAGTTCAAGGCCAATGTGGGCAACTTAGCAAGATCTTGTGTCCAAATAAAAAACTAGAAACAGGGCCGGGAATGTAGCTCTGCGGCAGGGACCTTATCTAGAATGTCTAAGACTCTAGGCTGGATCCCCAGGACCACGGCAAAAACCAACTCTGTGTTGAATTCACTCAGGCTAAAACTGCCCATCTGTGGTGAGTGTGAGCCTCCTTGTCGCCTGTTGTCCTCCCTGAGTCCAGGTGCCCTCAACACCATCCCATTTGTTTTATACACTGCTCACCCCAGAGCCACCAGGGTTACTTTCCCCAGAGCAGTACTCTCAGGAACAAAAGCACGAAGTGCCTGTTTGGGGTTTGGTTTTCAAATAAAAACTCGGAAATCCACACTGGCAATTGCCATATGCACTCTGAGCACCCCCCCAAAAAAGTTTTTATTTAAACTATTTAGTACCTCCCACTTGAAATAGCTCCCATCACCCCTGTGGGCGACAACGGAATCGGAACACAGGGGTCTCTTATTGGTTTAACCCATGCTGCCTTCTGGGGACAGCCGCACAAGGGCCCTAAGGAGATCCTTTCCATTTTCAGTGTCTCCACAGGCAGGTGTCTGGGTGGCCAGCTGGTCCTGTGCTTGAAGCCGGCCCCTGCTCATTGCCACCTTTAGTCTGCCCGTCTCTGGTCACTGGGGTTGGTCCAAAGCTTGATCACTACCACACTGCCAGGAGAGGCACAGGTGTGTGTGTGGGGGGGGTAACTGGGCTCTTGTTGTCAGCATCCCTCAAATCCTTGACTCACCCCTCTCCCCGAGGATTTTCAGTTATGCTTTTGTTGGGCAGAAATGTTAGACACGCAAAAAAACAAGGGTACTACCATTGAGCCACATCCTAGCCCTCAGCTCTTTTGACAATTTTGTTTCTCTTTAATGTGCATTGGTGTATTGCCTGCGGCTGTCTCCGTGAGAGTGTCAGATCTTAGAGTTACAGGCAGTTGTGAGCTGCCACGTGAGTGAGTGCTGGAGCTGAACCCGGGTCCTCTGGAAGAGCAGCCAGTGCTGTTGACTGCTGAGCCTTTACTCTAGTCCATGACCCTCAGCCCTTCACAGCAGCGCTCAATGAGTGTGACTTGTTCTCTCAACAGAGCTCGATTTCTGATCGTTTCGCTTGAATTACCTTTTAGGATGTATCTGTATTTGTGTGTGCGTGTGTCTGTATTGCGTACCACAAGTGGACGGGGAATGGAGAGGCCAGGAGAAGGTACTGGATTCCCTGGAGCTGGAGTCGCAGGCAAGTTGAGCTGCCATGTGGGTGCCGGGAAGAGAACCTGGGTCCTCAGCAGGAGCACTAAGTGCTCTTAGCCACTGAGCCTTCTCTGTAGCGCATGGATTACAGTTTTACCATGCATTCCGTCCCTTTACTTTGGATATGTCAGATTCAGCCTAAACATATATCACTGTCTCTGCCTAACTTCAGTATTCTTTACTCCAATTTCATCTTTTACAAATTTTGTTTTTTGCTGGGAGATGGTGGCGCACGCCTTTAATCCCAGTGCTTGGGAGGCAGAGGCAGCTAGATCTGAGTTTGAGGTCAGCCTGGTCTCCAGGGAAATCCTGTCTTGAAAAACCCAAACTAAGTCACTCATTTTCACCTTACAATTATCCTGTTTTCAGCTTTTAAAAACAGTCTTCCATTATATGTCTTGAGGGGCTGTGTGTGTGGGAGCTGGCGTTACGGTGGTCCCTCGGGGAGAACTGCCTGCTCTTGGCTACCTACCATCTCTCTGCCCTCACCTTTAATACTCTGGAACAATGTGCTTATTCACTTGACTTCCTTGTAGTCTTTTCATTCTGAGGTGCTTTGGGTTTGGGTTTTGACTCCTAATCTTTGCTGAGTCTGCCCCATTTAAGAGTTCCATGGTCACAAGGTTTGTGCGTACCGCGTTCTCTCAGCACACCTAAGCATCCTAGACTTCGGGAGGGGGACTGTACCCCAGTCACCTGTCTGTGGAGAGGCTGCCCTGTTTCCTTAATGTAACAGTTCCTTTTACAGGCGGGTGTCCTGGCCTGTGAAGCAACAAGATGGAATTCTCAGCTGTTTTCATACTGTGGTCACACAAATGGCCACTTGCCACCCCTATTTCCCTCACAACATTCTCTTTCCTCTCTCCCTAGGCCATGCCCTGCAGGGCTGTACCTGGATGGTTCAGGAACCCAGCCTGGTCCTCACTGGCCTCTGTGGCCTCTCATGTCCCACACAGTTCTGCCCTAAACACCTATTTTATAGCCAGGGGTCCCCAAGTGTGTCCCTGCCCCCCAAGCTTCCCAATAGACACCTGAAGGCCATCTCCTCTGCTTCCCTCCCCTAAGCCACCCCACCCACCCAGACTGAGGTGGCTTATGCCATCTAATGTCTGCTAGAGCTAGCAGACACGCTCAAGATGGGATACTTGTCAGTGTGAGATAAGGGCTCGGGGTTTGGCTATGTGTTGCTGTATTCCTACACAGGGACCTGGGAAGATTCAAGGGTCGTTCTACAGTTGTGAAGTGAGCCTTCCCAGGTGACCAAGGTGCATGGCAGGACGAGTTCCACAGGGAGGACAGAGCCTCATCCCCTGGGGGAGACTACCACGCCAGCTCAAAGGACGAGTTCCACGGGGAGGACAGAGCCTCATCCCCCGGGGGAGACGACCACGCCAGCTCAAAGGACGAGTTCCACGGGGAGGACAGAGCCTCATCCCCCGGGGGAGACGACCACGCCAGCTCAAAGTCCCTTCCTACTGGGACTGCTCTACTCTTCTTTCTGCGCACCCTCTTGCTGAGCTAAGGACCAAGACCGTCTGGAAGGATCTCTCTGGCCATGGCCACTGCCCATCTCACAGCAGCTGAAGCCATCAAAACTGTGAAACTACTTCAGCCGTAGGGAGCCCCAGCTCATCTCTGCACCCCATCCCCAGGCAAGCTGCTGAGCCTACCTCTCAAATTCCATCTCCCCAAACCCCCACCCATATCCTTTCAGAAATAAGATGGCTCAACAGGCAGCCTGACCTTCCAAGGCTCTGTGCGCGTGCGGTGAGATGGCCCACACAGAGGCTGACAACGATGGTGGGGACATACCACAACAGCACTGCCCTCTCTGGGCTGGACAGGCTTCCCAGAGATATGAGAAGGAAATTCTAAAACCCTGCAAACTAATGCTCTGAGCATTACTCTCTGAGCAACTACTCAGCACAACCGCCGTCCAGAGCCAGGGCTCTGGTGCTTAGACAGGCACCATTAGACGCTAGTCAAGTGTGTGGCACACGGGCTGGCCAGCACTTGAACACGGCAGAGCCCGGGGAAAGCAACATCAGCATGCTGGTCAGCTGTAACTGTCAACTTGAGCAACCCAGAAGCAGCTGGGCGTCTACCCCGGGTTGTCCTATGGACATGTCTGTAGGGAGCGGTCTAGCCCGTGGTGAGGGCTCACTGATCAGGAAATCTGAAACTGAGCTGCGTGGAAAGACATCAACCTGGGCCCAGGCAAGCAAACACGCATGTATTTCTCTCTGCTCCTGACTGTGCACGGGCTGTGGCTAGCTGTTGCAAGCCCCTGCCCTTGGGACTTCACAGCACGATGGGCTGTAACCTGGAATTAAAAGTTCAATAAGCCCTCTGTCCCCTAAGTAACTTCACGTGGGGTTATTTTATCACAGCAACAGAAAGGACACTAGGACAGCCAGCATGTACTTCCGGTGGTCAGGGTTGCACCAAACTTTTATTGTAACCC